CAGATTTAAGAGCCTTTTCTTCCTTGATAAAACCTACCTGCCTAATCAGCTCTGCCTCATCACATAGCACCAACTCTTACATTAGGCAGTGCCTTGACAAAATTGGCTTAAAGAAAAAAATAGCATGTGTGTGCCAGCATTTTTCAGCTACAACTGCAGTGTGTCAGATGCCAAGGTGGGAGACACTGTTTTGAGAATTAACATTTTGACGATTACTTGATAATTTTGATAATTAACATTTGTTTGAAGCATACCTGCACCTGACTGATTTCTTTCACTATTGGGTTTGTGTACTGACAGGAGCTTATTCTTACTATTAAAAAACAGAAAAAAAAAGATAATTAATCTTTTTCTATACAATATATAAAAAAAATAATAAATTACAGTATAATTAATATGTGTATAAAAAACTGGAACTAGCAAGACAGGCTTGTTATCCTCCTTTAGAAACAGGACCTCTTTTTTCTTTAGGAGCTCTTCCTAAAGAAGTCTCTTGAGTCAGAAACTCAGGTGATGTGAGAACACAGCATCTGATTTAGAAAGGCCTTGATCCCACCTGGGGTTATGGAAAACTCTCAGGGAAGAATCAAGTCTTGCTGAGCACAGCAAGAGGAGCAGCACAGTTGCTTTGTATTTCTGTGTTTTATTCCTGCAGTTTTATTCCTGTGAGGCATTCCCCTCATCTCATACCCAATTTTTCCAGGTGATGGAGTGCCCCTGCAGTATCAGTCTGTCAGCTGATTGATCACTGTTACTTCTGGACAGGGATGCTCCAAGCTGCTGGAACCAAGCAACTGGGCTTGGCTTGCTGCAGGTGCTCTCCACAGCTGTGGTCTGGGCAGTGCTATCCAGAGTTACACAGCTCCTTGATTCCCTTCTCACTTATTCCACCTCTCCTCAGGTTTTTTGGCAAATTTGCCTCATCCTTCTAGCTTTTAGACAGTGATAATAGCTCACTGCAGGAACAGGATTCATTTATCCGAAGCTCTTTAAAGACTGGAAAGGATGGACTTCAAAGGCAGGAGAACGGGATGCAGTGCAGCTGAACAGGGGAGAAGGGCATGCATTCAGACTAAATGAACTCTTTTGTATGCAGGCAAAGAAACTGATTTCTGTCTGCCTTTTCTGATATTGTGCTATAATAGCAAGGACAAATACAAAATGGGATAGATCTCGGTTGATTGGAAAGATTAGAGCTGAGCTAGCAGAACGGCCAGAGCCACAGGGGAGGGAGGGAGATGGGTGGGGTTGCATGGCTGGAATGTATAACTCCTGTGGTGGCTAAGAGGTCTGGGTCTTCAGTACAAGTTTATCTGCTGAAAAAAGCACATTGTTTGCTGTGAACCTGCCTCCTGCTACCTTTATCTGAGGTTCCTTTCCTCATGTGCTGAAAGAAAGAGGGAGCAATTATCCCAGCATTTATCATTCTACCGACTGTTTTATCTTCCCTCAGACACCTTTCTCCCAGCTGGCAGGTCCAGTCTATGGAACTGCTCCACAGATGGAAACTATTCCTTGTGTTTGATCTTCTTTCTCTGAACCTTCTCCAAGTCTGTCTTGGGGGAAGATGGGTGGAGGTGTTGGATGGACAGATGGAAGAAAGATGACTGACCAAAACTGGAGCCTCCAAAATGTGGGTGTGGGAGGCTACGCTGTGGAATCAGTTTCTGCTTTGTTCTTTACCCCTTCTCTCATAATTTTCAGTCACTGTTCTGTTGTTCTAAGCATTAAGCTGATGTTTTTATCCATTTCTAATAATTACAAAATCCTACTCCCACGCTTATTATTTCGCCTTGAGCCCATCATTTCATATAAAATTTGTGAATCATTGCTGCACTTCTATTTCCTGATTTTATCTGCTGTATTTCTGCACTCAGCCTTGTAACATCTTCTGCTGTGCCATGAGGAGAATGATGCAACTCCCTTCCTTTGTTTCAGCTGTGTGTAGGGACAAAGCCCCTTTCCTGGGATAAAGCCACAGGTATCCGCAGATCCCTCGGGCTCTGGTACTTCCTGGCCAAATACCGATGCTCTGTGGCTTTATCTTGACTGGGCAGCTGTTACTAATAATTGCAAGCAGAATCAAATATTCCAGTCAGAACTTTTGCTGCATAAATGAACAGGGAAAAAATGTGAGAGGACCTTTATAGCCCTATTGCGCTGTCACAGCACTCAGGGCCACAGCTTCCTTCAGGGCTCAACCCTCCTACAAACCAGTGAAACTACTCTGCTGTGATTTTATAGTATTTACTGCAGGTCACTTCTCACTTAGGATGTTTTAATCCTTTTCTGATTCCTGTTTCTGCTGAAACACCTGCTGCCTGTTGTTTCCCTAGTCTCCCAAACTGAACTTGCAAAAGCATTTTACATAGTTGTATCAGTAACCAGAGCCATAAAATAAAAATAATTAAATGCTTTATTTTTTTAAAAAAAAGAATAAAAGTGATTGTCCACCACCCATCACCACTGCATCAGAATCACTGATGTTTAGGACAGAGAGCATGATCTGTCTGAACAAAGCAACTCCTATTAAGTTGTCTACACTGACGTGATGAACTTCCTATTTATGTGATTCCATTCCATCTCTTTTTATGGCTCCCCAGTCTGTAGTATTTTTATGAATAGTTTATGCTGTGGTGTACTTATTGATATGCTTCCACAACCTAAATGGCATAATTATCTTGAAGGTTCAATTAAAAAGTAATCTAGCAAGAGTTAGGATTCCCAATTACTGAGTGTGGGAAAGACTCCTATTCTTTTCTCACTGTCTTCCATCTCAGACATAATTGAATGGGTCTCTCTCCCAAATAAAATGCAAGTTTTCATCCCTGTGGAAGGAGAAGAGAGGTCATGGAGACCTGTGGAGACCACATATAATGATGCCTATTTTTACCTCCACTTTTCTTTAAAGACACACTTAAATTTGTTGTACACTCAAATTGCAGTTGCTATGTGCACTCTCTTATAGACAAGACAGAAAAATAAATTATTTTCATTGCTGTTTATTGTAATTTCAGGTTCACTAGCCAGGCCTTTACAAGTGCATTAGAGGTAAAACAAAATCAATTTACATTTTAATTCTTACAAATGTTTCACTTTGGAAACTTGTAAATAGGTACCACCACTCTTTTAGAAAATGTGAGAACATTCTGACAGATATAAATTTGTAATTTAATATTCATAACTTAAACCTCCAGATATAATTTCCAGGGACAATAATTGTGAACAGTGCCAAGGCTTTCTTAGTAGTCTGCTTTTCTTCCAGGGAATTATTCACAATGGTTACTGTAAAATTGAGCTTTTGAAACTGGAATATTTTCCATTGATGCTGGTAAATGAGTAGCACTAAAGAATGAATGGGTTTGCCCCGCTCAGTTTTTTTTCCAGGGAGACACAAAGTTTTTTGTTTTAACCTTTTCAATTTGACATATTAGGTGCTACTAACTGAGGATACACACCTGCATTAGTCTCATCCATATGTCTTCATTATACCCAGGTTGCTCCTTTTGTAGGGAATGTGCAGGATTTCTAACAAAAATGCCCATCTTAAGGAAGCTTATTTTGAAAAAAAATAAACCCAAGCATCTATCCACAGTGTTTTTCAGAAATATTTTTATGAAATATTAGTCTATCTCCATACAATTTCTGTTTTCATGAAAGAAAGTCTTGAATCACCCAGCTTTTCTCTCTATTAATTATTGGTTTGAGTGTGTGTATGGAGTAGTTCCTGGGCATCTTTCCAAATCATAAAAACTTCTTCCTTAAAAGATCTGAAAATAGGCATAATTTAAGATCACCGATTATAAATTTATTTAATTGTATTTATTAATTATAATATTGTAATTATAATTAATAATATTCCTTATTAATATATTCCAAATATTTTATTTGGCTCTCATTATTAGGAATTTCTTATAGACATTTCAGACTGGGGCATAGTTCGATGATGAGAGTGATGGACTTCAAATCCTTTTGCTGTTTTGAGACTGCACGCAGCATGAATCAAGATTTTGTGGGATCTGAAATTAATTTAATGGGGTTTTATACCCATGGAATGAGAAAATGAGGCAAGAAGTTTCATGGACTTCTGGCATCCCACCTCATCTCCTGGCCTGGCATTTGGAATCGGAGCCTTAAAATTTTCCATGCAGGAATTCGGAGTGCTGAAGGGCGGTGTACAGCAAAGTGGGAACATTTTGAATTTAAATTCATATTGTTACATATGGTATAATTTATATATACATATATATAAATATAAATATATATTAAAAATATTGTTCATTAAAACAATATAACCGCTGGTTAAAGTTTAACGAGTCACTCTAGGAATGTTGCTGTGCTGGGAGACATTTTTCATGGCAACAGCGCTTCAAATATTTATTTACTTATTGTTTCCTTGCTGTTAATAATGGAACACCCGAGAGCCTGTTTGCATTTCCCTCCTGTTAAACAGAGCGAGTTCATCCGTAGATTTAAATGGCTCACTTGCTCTGTTCTGAGCTACCAGGGATTCCAGCCGGTTTTATAAATCGGGGTGAAATTTGTGTAATTACGGAAAAAGTTTCAGATTATTTATTTCATGACCTTGTTGCTTTGTGTCTCCTATCCAAAAAAAAAAAAAAAAAAAAAAGCCAGTCGGGGATTTGCTCACCGAGGGCCGTATTCTTCCCGGCATTTTTGGATCGAGTTCCTAAACACGTATTTTCATATTTTAGGTGTCAAAACCTTAGCGGGCTCACTTAGAGTGTTGCAAAGGTTTGCAGCACCAGCGAGGGGAGCAGTGAAACCCCGTCACGGCTGCAGCGCCACCGCGGCCTCCCCGCTGCAGGGAGCGCCTCAGGAACCCCGGCACCGCCCAGCTCAGCCCGAGCCTCTGGCACCACCTGCGGGTGGCGCGGCTCTCACACCGCCGTGTCCCCCTGTCCGCTCCTCTCGCCGGCTCGCCGCGTGTGGGTACCCCCGGGAGATCGCAGAGCCTCTCCCGGCCCGGCGCTTCCCGGCACTCGGCGATTCCCGGGAAGGCGAGCAGCGCCTGAGGGGGAGCGGCTACGGCGCCTCATCCCCGCGCATGCGCGGGAGCGGCCCGGCAAGATGGCGGAGCTGGAGGAGTGAGTGTGGCAGGGAGGAAGGGAGGGAGGGGATGCGGGATCCGCTGCCATCCGCGGGCTGAGGGTGGCCACGGAGACGGCGGGATGCGACCGGGATGTGACCGGGATGTGACCGGGTTGTCCCTCCCACAGGCCGAGGCGGCGGATCCCGCTGGTACCAGAGAACTTGCTGAAGAAGAGGAAGGCGTACCTGGCCATCAAGGCCACCCAGGCCAAGCAGGCGCTGCTCAACAAGCGCAAGGTACGGCGGCTCCCGGCAGAGCCTGGTCGTGCAGCCCTAGCTCGTCCTCCGGAGGAGGAAATCGCTGTTGCTTGGAGTTCCTAGGAAATAATCCGGGTGGTCGGGGCCCTCAGCGAACACCCCGGGTGGGCAGGGATCGTCTTCGGGTTCCGAGGGGACCTCGGAAGATCTTCTCAACATCTTCTCCGTGTGTCTCTGAGCCTTGTAAAGAGGACGGAGTTTTACGGGTTATTACACCGAAACGGAATATATATGGAAGACTGCGAGTTGTTTGTGTTGGATCAGTGATAGTCAGGTGTTTGCGGCCACATGTGGGAAACTTCAGTGCTGCTGAGTTGTCTTTGCTGCCCTGGATTTCTCTGTCTGAAACCACCTTTGTGTTGTAACCCTGCATGGAAACAGTGCTTTTCGGAGGGTGCATTCAGAGTTACTTATCTGTTGGAGCAACACAGGTCATGCTAAAGCGTTTTTCTGCCTGTGGGGGTGGCAGATGTCCAAGTGCAGACACCAACGGTGTGTGCACTGTGCAGTTCCAAACTGGCAGAGCACAGCAAACCTTTCTAATTCCCAGTCTTAGACCTGTTCTGCTGTACCCCAGCTGATACAGTAGGTGTCTGTCTTAAAGCTTTCCCAGTGAATTTTGTGGGATTATGTGCAAAACTCCTGCCATTTTTGATCCTGTGTTTACTTTTTTAAAAGCATCAGTGGCTTGCTGTGTTTCCAAGGTGAAAGCGTGAGCAATAATGTTAAATAGCCACTCCTTAAGATTCTCGTTCTAAGAAGGACCTTACTGATGAGACTTTGATTAGGTCTGCCTGTTTTGAAAATTCAAACCAATTTCACTGGTGATTTACAAGGTGAAATAGAACAGAAGACACACAACTACAGATTCTTTAATTTTAAATGGCCTGCTAATTTAACCAGTAGAGTGTCTTAAATATGTTTGTGTAATGCTGAGCATTTTCAAGTCCTGTTTGTATATGAAAACACTATGACTTGGTGGATGTACTTATTCCTAAGCTAAGGAGAGGCATTTAGACATCTGTTTAATGTGAAAAAGGGGCTTGACATTTTCTAGTAATGATGAAAAGACTTTTTATCAGATGAGCCAGGTGTTGGCTGTTTAAATGAGCAGTACTTAATAGTTACTTGAATGTTTGAATTTTTTTTTTTGAGTGTGTGCCTGTATAGAAAAGGACTTTAAATGCAGTTATTTTCTGTTGGAGGGTAATTTTGAGTTACATTACAGCATTTGTTTTGCCCACATGTTGTTTCTGGCTTTCCCAGCCATTGCTGAGCTGTGTGTGTAGCTGTGTCTAGAAGTATCCTGGGTCTTGCTCTGGTTTCCCTAATGTATATTTTTCCTGGGGAAAACCTATTTGTTTGCTGTTCATAAATAATGGTTTTGTGTAAATTTGTGTGTTGTCCCTCAGTTCTGTCTCACTTGGGCTTAGATAATCAAATTTATTTTCTTATGTTTTCAAAGCTGGAAGAACATTGTTCACTACTGCTGCATTTCATTTGCCCTTTCAGATGTAAGCTTCTGAGACTGTTGGGATGGGTGACACTTGGTTTTCCTTTTGTCTGTAGCAGCAGAAGGGGAAACAGATCCAGTTCAGGCGTCTGGAGACCTTTGTTCGTGACTCGTGGCGCAAACGCCGCGATGACGCCCGGCTGAGGCGCATGGAGCAGAGACCTGGGCAGGCAGTGGCACCTCAGGAGAGCAAACTGGCCTTTGTCGTGAGGATTGTGGAGTAAGAGCCTTCCCCTACTCCTTTTCTTATTGTTGCTACCCTTTGTTGTGTTGTTTCTATGCCAAGGCAGTGCGATCAACCTAGACACGTCTCCTTGCTGGTGATCTGAGGCCTTTTGTTGCTCTATGACAGAAGTGTGGTTACTAAGTATTTTTTTCCTCAGTATTAAGGGAGTGACTAAGAGGGTGAAAAAAGTGATGAAGTTGCTGCGGCTGAAGAAGAATTACACTGGGATGTTCGTGAAGCTGAGCCCGCTGACGCTGAAGATGCTGCGGACCGTGGAGCCGTACGTGGCGTGGGGGTACGTACCCCTCCTGTGACTTGGGGGTCACTGGATTCTCCAGCTGCTATCACAGATCCATTACTTGTCCAGTAACGGTCAAAACTTAGTCAGCTTTATGTCTGAAACTTGTTATTGTCCCTTTTCTCATTGTTCTTGGTGTAACTTGGTTACTTTCCCACCTCTGCACAAGGAAGTGGGATGGGGCTTCCCTCTGCATTGTGTCTGTCTGTTAAAGAATCTGATTTTTGTTTCTGCACAGGCAGCCTAACCTGAAGTCTGTACGAGAGCTCATCCTGAAACGGGGCCAGGCCAAGATCAAGAAAAAGAGGGTGCCTCTGACAGACAACATGCTGATAGAGGAACATTTAGGTGAGGAAGAGGGTGAGAAAATTGAGGAGTTAGGTGTTGAGAGTTTACAGTCTGATCCGAAAGGGTGGGGAGACACAAAATCTTGAGACTGGCAATTCTGGAGCAGTGTGAAGGAAAATGATACAGTCGGACATCTCTTTATTTATTCCTTTTTCTCGTGCAGGGGGCTGTGGTATCATTTGCCTGGAAGACCTTATTCATGAAATCTACTCAACTGGGAAGTATTTCAAAAGAGTAACCAGCTTTCTGTGGCCGTTCCATCTGTCGGTGGCTCGCCACGCGTCGCGGAACAGAGTGGGTTTCCTCAAGGAGATGGGCAAGCCTGGCTACAGAGGTGATGAAATCAACCGGCTCATCCGTCAGCTCAACTAGTCAGGTGAGCAGCCTGCTGGGTGAATTCTGAGGCTTACCCTTCATTCCCTTTCCTAAGGACAGCCAGACTGACACTGAAGATGTTGGGGGGGCTCCCTTGGTTTTGATTGTCACTCTACAAAGTGACTTCACAATAGGGGAAACTAATCAGGAGCATGGATCCTGTTAGGAATCAGCCCATGCTGTTGGACACCTCCATGAAGGCTTGGTTCCTGGGAAACAATACAACTTTCTCATTTATTTTCTTCCCTATTCTGCAGGTTTTTGTGAAAACTTCAGGATCAAGACTTCACCTGTTCCTTTTCACATGTACCTTTCCATGGACATAATCTACATGCAATGATCTATATGCAACTTCTCTTGACTGCTAGTGCCTCTATAAAGGAAGAAATACAGAGATGATGGTGGAGATGGACTTCGGGCTGGCCCTTCTTAAAGAAGATAAATTCTCTTTGCTACAAGAATGAGCTTCTTGGGGCAATTTGACTTTTGCATCTCTGTAAAAGGAGTTTTTTTTCTGCTCACTACTGCAGACTTCACTCTTTGAAGCGCATCTGCTTCTAGGGGTGAGGGGTAGTGCAGTCACAGTTCTGCTGACAGGCAAAAGAAAACACCAAGATATTCTTCTGTTACTGCAGCACAAGCCCTAGCAGTGAATAATATAACTTTTTAAGTACCCAGATTGTATTTATTCTAAAAAATTATGGGTTTCATGTTCCTGATGTAAAGAGAACTGCCTTTTTTTTTTTTTACTTCTGCTAGATTGGGACTGCTGGAGAAAATTCTTTAATTCTTTCCTGGAAATAGGAAAGCCCAAAAAGGTTGTAATACAGTCATGGTGTGGGGTATATGTATTTGATGTTTTTTAAATAAAGTTTTGAAATTATATTATTATAACAGAAAGTCCTACATCACTGGAGAAGGGTGGAAAAAACAAGAGTTAAATACTGTCTGGAATGAATCTAGTGAAGGAAGTGAAAAAAACAACATGGCAGTCTGAAAGTTCTAGTGTTTTAAATCCCTAATTTCTTGTTATACAAAAACAGGTAAGAGCACATGAAGAGTTGAATGCTGTTTAACAAGAAGGCAGTGTGCTTAGTCATCAGTTCACTGTGACTGTTTGAATTGTTACTTGAAGACTTACTTGGGGGCAAGCTGTTAATCCACAAATGGATGTCACATGGACTCCACACCACTTGGACTGAGGAAGGAACCAGTTAAGTAACAACACAAGGAGGATGCCTTTTGGGTGTTAAACTTGTGTGACAGTTCTAAACTAGGATGTAGCATTCATAAACCCATCTGAAACACGAAGGACTGCAGACTGAATTAGAGAACACTATAAAACTCAAAGCTTTATTCTGTAAAACAAGAATACAAACATAGAAAATGCTGGACAGACACTACAGACACAGACGGAACAACTCCATCCCCAGAACTAGAGCCCAGTGGTCGTTAAAATACATGGCTTTGTTTATTTAAAGTTTTCCTGATAAACAGCTGCTGCCATTGTAGAGAGGTAAAAAAATTGCTTGGTTGATTTGTTTTAGGGTTATCTCTGGTAATAAAACAGCCCAGGCTTTTAACATGAGAATTGGCACCCCAGGAATGAGATTTTTTTTGTTGTTGCTACAGAGAACTTAAGACTGCTAACAGAATGCAGTTTTAAAATAATTTCAAAATATAAAATTACAGGATCTGAACACAATTCTAGCAGCTAATCCTAGATTTAGGCAGTTTTTCTAGCAGAGGCAGTGGTTTAACATGATGTGTTCATGGCTTAGCTGCATGATGAACAGAAACTATACAAGGTGACAGGATATTTACACACATGAAACTTGTCCCTGCATCTTAGGGAACAGAATCCTTCTTGTAAGCCACTGAGGTGTTGACTTTGTGGATTGTGGTAGTGAAGGAACGCAGCCGAACCTCTTCTGAATTGGCTATGAACTGTGGTCCTGACTCTTCCCACTTTTCTGGCACTGCCAAATCTTTATCTGTGTATATCAGCAAGTCAAAGGCACCTGGGAGGAAGGGAGAACAAATTCACCATAAGGAGATGGCAGGTTTGAAGTACATCTTCTAGAACTTGAGCCAAGGACCAAGGTTTTCAGAAGTTATTTGAAAAAAACAGTTAAAACAAGTTATATTTATGTGAAGTAATTTTTGTTTTCTCGGGTGTTGTAAATATTTTTTTCAAACATGTTACCATGCTGTGGAGCTGAGCTCTGTGTAACACTTCATATGAACAAATTATTCACAAAAACTTGCATTCCTTAGGGCATACATGCAAACTTCCCCGAGTTTGTTAAGCCATCTCAAGTTCTGTCCTGATTTCAGTCTAACAAAGTGCTGCCTCACAAACGTTATGGTGCACAAGGTGTAATAATTAAAAGAGCTTCAGAAAACCAGAAAATATTTTCCAAAGTTGGAAAGTTACTGAGGTTTTTCAAAAGTGTTTGATTTCTTTAGATCAGTCTGGAATACTCACAGGCAGATTCCAAGAGTGGCAGGAAGGTTACTGTGGCAGTTATTTGTCTGATGACAGAGCGAATTTCATCCTGAATTGCCTTCTGAGATTTCTCTCGTGGTCCGCTGGAAAAGTAAGAGAACTCTGGTAAGAGAAAAAACTGCTACTGTGCTGACAGTTCCCTCTAAACACAGTTGTCTTTGTTAAGCTCTGGTAGACTGTTTGCTACAGTATTTTTAGAGTAGAAAGGGACACTTTTAAGTCCTTAGAAAAGTTAAGTGATAGCTGGTCTCCCTTTATTGATGTTTTTGTTTGTGTGTTCAATCGTATAATGACTGGTTTGCAGACAAACAGAGGGCAGGGCCCTGAGAAAGGTCTGAAGGAACAAGTCCATTGGTTCTGTTCCTGCAGCGGTACTCGGGACAGGGAAGAGGGTGAGCGCAGGGCCCGCGGTACTCACTTGTCATCCTTCGCAGTTTTGTCACACTCGATGTCGAACTGCCAGCGCTCCAGGACCTCGCTGCTCTCGATGCTGGAGATGACCACCACCAGGCGCTGCACGATGCACTTGTACAGCCACTCTGCAAGAAGCCACGGCGGTCACTTGGAGCGCGACAAGCAGCGGCAGGGACAGCGGACAGGACAGGGAGGGCCCCGCCGCCGGCGCGCACCTTTCATCTGCTCCGTCACGTTGTTGAGGTAGTTGGCCAGCTCGGGGTCCGTGGTGACCAGCAGGGTCAGCCCGTACTTCTGCACGCGGGTGAAGGTCTCGGGGGGGTAGATGCCCCGCTGGTACAGGATGCTGTTGATCCCATAGGCTGCGCGATTTGGACGGGGATGGAAAGGGATGTGTACCACCTCCCACCCACGCCCCGCCCGGCGGCCATGTCGCCCCACAAGACGCGGCCTCCCGCTCCCTCGCCTTCCCTCCCACCCTGCTTCTCTCTCTCCCTCCCTCCCTCTCTCC